ATCCAGACCTATTCTTCCAAGAACTTGTCAACTAAAATGGTTTGCATTAAAATACCTGCTTACCAATGATGACAGAGTAACTGATACACAACTAATATTCCTGTCATAAATCACTATAAAATTGGGCAAAGTATATGAAATAACCATATTAAGATGTTTTACAACAGGCAATGCAAAATAGTGATTACTCCATGAAGGAAACTAAAAGAAAGTTAGCTCCACAATCTCCCTGGCTTTCTGTTTGGAGGCATTTTCTGAACTGTAGTGCAGGAAGAGGAAACCCAGAGCACAATGGTTGGTTTTGGGGCTAAGGGAAAGAAAACAGAATTTGGAGCTCCAACATTTGCTAGAATGTATGAGTCAGGGTACAAATAAAAGGGATATGTATGGAGCAGGAGCTTCAGAAATCTATATTGAGGACCCTTGAGTGTTTGACTGGAAACACAGCTTCTCATGTGCAGGCCAAGAAAACATGAGGTCCAGCATAGAACAACTACTGAGCAAAGACAGCTACAAAAGGAAAAAAAAAAACTACTGAGAAGCTGTGAATAGAACAAGTACTAGCACCTGCACAGGCTGACAGACATTTAAGTTCCAACCAATTAGAGAGCAGAGACCTATTTAAACATCTGCAGTGCTTACTAGAGAGTCCAGAAAGGCCATGCCTTAGAAGGACAAATTTATCTCTAGAGTATAGGCTACTCTAGGCCTGCTCTAACAAAATTTTACTAAGACTCAAAGGAATCAAGATGGCTTAATTTAACTGCTTTTTGGAACAAAATTTAACACTTGATTAAGAAGGAAGCTAATATCAGACACTCACCATAGAAACTATAATATTCAGCATAACATCAGGAATTACTCCATGTATAAAGACCACAGCAGAAGAAAATCAGTCAATAGAAACAAATCCGGAAAAGACAGCGATAATGGAATTAACAGAAAATCACTTTAAAACAACTATTATTAATATGTTAAAGATTTAAGGGAAAATATGAATAAAGTGAGGTAACAGGTAGAGAAACACAATAGAGAATGGAAATTATATAGAAGAGCATAAAAGAAAAAATAAATCCCCAGCTGGGGGTGGTGGCTCACACCTATAATCCCAGCACTTTGGGAGGCCAAACTGGGAAGATCACTTGAGGCCAGAAGTTTTGGACCAATCTGGTCAACATAGCAAGATATCATCTCTAAAAATAAAATAAAATAAAAGAAAACAGAAATTGTATAACTTTGGCCCCCACCCCACAAAAAATACATGAAATGAAAATTTCCCTGGATGAGCCTAAAAGAAAAAGAAAAAAAATCAGTGAATGTGAACAGAAAAATAGAAATGATCCAAACTGAAGCAGAGAATAAAGTGGACGGAAAAATTAACTGAGCCTCAGTGACATGTGACATCTCACTACATGCGTAGAATTGGCATACCAGAGGGAGAGACAAAAGGAGAGCAGAAAAACGTTTGAAGCAATGGTGGTTGAAGATTTTCTAAATTTGATAAAAATGATACACTCAGAGATCCAAAAAGCTTAATAAATTTTAAGGGTGATAAATCTATAGAAAATAACTCAAAGCATTTCATCACTCATTAGCTGAAAGTCAATGATAATAAAAATATTAAAAGAAGGCAGAAAATGGACACATTACATACAGCAAAACAATCATAAGAAAAACTACTGACTTCTCATTAAAAACAATGAAGGCAAAGAGACAATAGAAGGACAATTTTTAAGTACTAGAAGGAAACTGTCAACAATCAATATCCAGTGAAAACTACTCCAAAATGAAGAGAAAATAAAACTGATTTTTTCTGCTTTCTTCATTTACTTTTCTCAGTAAAATAACATATGATTGGATATTAGACAGCATTTTTTGAATATTAGCTAGAAAAATTTGACATATTTAGTGCCTGAGTCTTCATGATACATTATTTTGTGACCAAAACAATTAATAAAAAGCTAAGAATTTGTCACTAGCTGGCCTGCATTACAAGAAATGCCAAAGGAAGTTTTAATGGTTGAAGAAAAATTATTTCAGATGGAAATCCAGTTCACAAAGGAATGAAAAGCACTAGGAATGGCCATTATATAGTTAAATATATATGTTTTTGGTTTTTAATTTTTTTAAAGATTGTTTAAGAATTTTTAAAGGTTTATATTTTAAAGATTGTTGAAAGAAAAAATAGTGTTAATGAATTGTGAGGTTTCTTCAAACATGTAGAAGTTAAATGTGTGACAAAAATAGAAAAAAAAAATCCAGGAGAGGAAACTTTTAATTTCCTTGTGTTTTACGCACAGTAGGCTAACATTAATGCAAGGTAGACTATGATAAATAAAAGATCTATATGGTAAGTCCTATAACAACCATTAAAAATAACATTAAAAAACAAACATAGTGAGGTATATATAATAAACCAATAGGAGATGAAAAGTGGAATGGTAAAAAATAATCTAAAATTAGTCAGAAAAGAGGAAAAAAACAAAATACATATGGGAAAAATATAAAACAAATAGCAATATGGAAGCTTTAAGTCTAACTATTTTAACAAATATATTTAATGTAAAAGAACCAAATATGTTATTAAAAGGTGAAACTGTGAGACCTTATTAAAAAGCATCACCTAATATGTGCTGTTTACAAGAGACTCATATATAATGTAAAGAAACATTTAGCTTAGAAATGAAAATGATTGGAGAAAGGTATGCTACAAAAACACCAATCCTAAGAATGATGGAGTGGCTATAATTATATTAGACAAAGCAGACTTCTGGAAAATTATTTTTCCTGGAGATAAAGAGGGGTATTTCATAATGATAGAAGTGTCAAATTATAAAGAAGCCACAGTAATTATAACAGGACATGATCTAATAACAGAGCATCAAAAATCATGAAGCATAAATAAATAGAACAAAAAATAGAAATAGACAAATTCAACATTCTAGTTGGAGATTTCAACACACTTATCTCAATTGACAGAATAACTATACATTAAATTAATAGTCATTTAGAAGGTTTGAATCATCCTATCAATAAACACAATCTAAGTATGTTTATAAAATGCTCTTCCCAACAATCAGAAACCCACGTTCTTTTCAAGTGATGATAAAACATTCGCCAAGGTAAACCTTATGCTAGGCCATAAGACAAATCTCAATACATTTAAAATAATTTAAATCATTTAGAGAATGTTCTCTGACCACAACCGGATTAAATTAAGAATCAATTGCAAAGGCATTTGAAAAATCTTTCAATATTTGGAATTGATTAAAATGCTTATTAAGACATACATCAAATACAAAATTAAAAGGAAATTAGAAAATATTTTGAACTAAATGAAAATAAAAATATGACATATCAAAATTTGTAAGATGAAGTTAAAGCAGAAAAAGAAAAACAATTTTAAACATTTCCATTAGAATATAAGAATGATTTAAAAACAGTGATCTAAGATTCTGCCATAAGGAACTAGAAAAATCAGAACAAATCAACCCAAAGTAAGAATGAAGAAGTAATAAGGATAAGAGCATATATTTATTAAACAGAAAATTGATAAATAATAGAAAAAAATAAAATAAAACCAAAAATTATTTCTTGAAAAAGATAATAAAATTGATACCTCCTAGCTGTACTCATCAAGAAAAAAGAGAAAATATAAATTATCAACATTACAAATGAAAGAGGCAATATTACTATAGATTATTCAAACCAGCATCACAATAAGTGAATACTATTAACAACTTTCTGAGTAAAAATTTGGCAATTTGCATTAAAAGAACAAGTCCCTTGAAGCATACAAATTACTAAAGTTAACACAAGAAGAAATAAAAAAATCACAATAGCCTTATATCTATTAACAAATTGATTGATAATTTTAAAAACTTTCCACAAGAAAACTCCAAACTTAGATGGCACTGGTAAAGCCTATCAAACAATTGAGAAAGAAATAATATAAATGTATTTAAACTCTTCCAAAAATATAAAACAAGGGAACACTTCCCAATTCATTTTATGAGGTTAGTGTTACCTTGACACCAAACCATTTACATGTTACAAAAAAGAGAAAATTACAGATTAATACATTTAATTAACACAGATACAAAAATATGATCACCCCAAATCCAGCAAGACATAAAAACGCTAGTACATCATGACCTAGTCGGATTATACCAGAAATGCAAAGTTGTTTTAACACTCAGAATAAAATCAATGTTATTAAACACATTGGCAGAATAAAATAAAGAAAAAATATCACTTGATTATCTCATTAGTTGAAGAAAAAGCATTTGACTAAATTCAACGCCCAACTATAATAATAGCAGTAATAATAATAGTAACTACCAGAAAATTGGAAATAAAATAAAATTTTCTCCATCTGATAAAGGTCACTTATTTTTTAAAAAATTGAAATAATATCATATTTAATTATAAAACAGTGAATATTTCCCTTGGATAGGGAACAAAGCAAGGATGTCCATTCTTAGTACTGTTATTCATTCTTATACTGGAGGTGTCCAGCCAGTGTAATAAGACAATATAAATAAATAAAATGCATAAGAACCAAAAAGAAAAGAGCAAAACTCTTTTGAATTACTGCTGACATGATATATAGACAATTCTAAGAAGTCTTTTTAAAAAATTCCTAATAAGTTGATTTAGTATTATCACAGAATACAATGTCTACATACAAAAGTCAGTTGCTTTTCTATGTATTAGCAATCAAAACTTGAAAAGTGAAACTATAAACATACCATCTACAATATCATAAAAACAAGTATAGAAATGGGAAAAGTGTGATATTGGTGTAAAGATGAACAAACGGATTAATAGAACACACAAATACACCTCAAATATCTACCAGCTCCTCAGTTCACCTGCGTCTACCTGTGGATTATGAGTCAAACCCAACCTCTTCTGGTGCTACTCTTTCTGTCTCATTTCAGATACTGTACCTCTTTCACCTCACAAGAATTGAGAGTAGAAAATAGATCTACACTTACCTGGTCTATTAATTCTGAAAAACGTGTGGCCTCTTGAAGCTGAAAAGGGCAAGAAAATGAATTTCTCACTAGAGTTTCCAGAAGGAATGCAGCCATGTCAACAGCTTGATTTTAGCCCAGTGAGATCCATGTCGGAATTCTGACCTCCAGAACTGTAAGAGAATAAAGTTCTGTTGTTTTAATCCAGTAAGCTTCTGTTCATTTGTTAATTAGCAATAGGAAACGAATAAACTAGTTCATAAAATAGTATATTCATTAATTTATTTAGGTAATTTTCAGATAATATTGTGATATGCATCTATTTCATGCCTGGCACTGACCTAGGGAGATCTGGGATTAAAATGCATAGCTCTTAACTTGAAAATTGGGATCTGACAGCAATGACAAGTAATTCCTTCAAAATGTGACAAAAATTATGGGAAAGCTAAGCACAAAATGCTGTGAAAGCATGTATAAGAGGCATTTAACCAAACTGAGGAGGAAATAATGGCCCAAAAGACTTCCTGAAAGAAGTGATATCTTAATCAAAGTCTAAATGATTAGTATAAATTAATCTGGCAAAGATGGGAAGTGAGGATTAAATAAACAAAAGTAATATTGAGTTCCAAGAGCCATAAGAGAACTTGGTGCATCCAGGGAACTGTGAATAGTTTGGCACTCACTGAGGAGTAAAACGAAATACATAAGAAATCATTGGTCAATGTACTGATAAGATATAAACCTTAAGCAGAAAGAAATTGTTTATCTTGATTTAATTATTGAGTTATTCATTTACTTGGTGCAAAATGTACAGAATTTAGAAGTTATAGTATGATTATATTTGGCTATTTGCTTATATAACCCATATTCCAGCAAAATACAGTCAATTCTGCCATAATATGAAATAAGCATTCCTAAAAATCACCATTGCCACGTAAAATCATGCAATAAAAGTCACATCATAAGGTTTAGCAAAAAAATGAGACTGGGAAAAACATTCAAACACTTCATCAGTGACACATAAAAATAGGTAGGAGCCTAATAAAAACACTAGTGCAGTTTTACACATGTTAGGCAATTAGGAAGTTCATAAATACTACAGTAAATATGGCACTTTACCTTGAAAAAGGCCTGAAGTTGGCTTGTGTGGAAGTAGACATCAGAAATGTTGCAGCTTGTGAGTTTTTGTGAGGTGGAAGGAAGGTTATCTGAAAGCAAAGTTGATCTTATAAAAACTTTAAAATATAGACATTCAGCATCAAGCTTTTATAAGCATAAAAATGGGCAGAACTACAGTCACCAGACATATTGGTAATTGTTCTCACTTGAAATAAAGCTTGGCCCAAAGAAGGAAAAGCCTTTCTCTTGATTTTCTCACTGTCAAACTGAGAAAAATAGGTTCTTTCAAACTGTTTCTATTATATAATAAGGGATGGCCAAGGGAAAATAAACACAGGATAGAGGGATGTAAACAAGATGGCTTAATCATTAGAGGGGTCTGATCCCACCATGGCTTATTTGTTTGAATGCGGTCTCAAAATAATTACTTTTTATAGGCTCAAAAGCAGGCAAGGTTTCACAGGCACTTGACTGGGTCCTTCACATCCTGACTCCCAGCACAACTCTTCGGTCTTTCTTTTTTGACACCTCTTTCCCTGTGTTATTATCTAATCTAAAGCCAAATATCAGTGTCTGTTCTAAGAAAGCTGCTTTTCCTTAGTCGAATAACACCTTTCAGATGAGACCTTATTTCGTATCCACGGGGATGGGGACAGATCATACAAAATAACAAAGGAACACTAATCTGGTAGTTAAGTAACCTAAATTCTTGCCCCGGTTTTCTCACCAACTTAAATTCTGAAATCTCATCTGTGAAAATAAAGTGATTAACCTTGTCTGTCTTTAAGGTCCATTTAAGTTCTGTACTTCTATGACCATTATTAACAAATATTATTGAGATCCTTCTAGGTGTCGAGTGTTTATCAAACAATGAATCTATCTTCATTTTTTACAAGAAAGCTCAGAAAGGCCAAGTGACTTGCTAATGTCACACTTCCGGTAAATGGCAGAGCTCAGATTCACTTGCACATCTTGCCCACAGAACTAATGTCTTTGCAAATGCCACACTGTTGTCTTTAAGAAAAATGGCTATGGTATCATAGAACGAAAAGATCTCATGTGATAGACATCTGGGTGTCCAGCACCTTCACCCATTCAAATGGTTTCCTTAGGAGTTGTCATATTTTATAAGATCTTGGCAGCTTAGCCTCTGTTGGCTAGTTCAGGGTAAGACATGACCCAAATTAGGAAAGTAAGATTCTTTCAAAGAATTTGGGAATATGAAAGGGAATTAGTATGTCTGAGATGATTGAAGCCATACAATAGAAAACTCAAAAGATGTTAGCAGCAGCAATGTTTCCTGCCAAGTGAAGAATGCTGGTTTTCAATGACAGTAAAGCAAAGAGGAAAGAGGGCGATATGGTTTCGCTGTGTCCCCACCCAAAGCTCATTTTGAATTGTAGTTCCCTTAATCTCCATGTCTTGGTAGGGACCCGGTGGGACATGGGGGTGGTTACCCTTATGCTGCTGTTCTCGTGACAACGAGTGAGTTCTCACAATACCTGATGGTTTTATAAGGGACTTTTCCCCCTTTGGCTCAGCACTTTTCCTTGCTGCCACCACGTGAAGAAGTGGTGCTTTCACTTTCATCATGATTGTAAGTTTCCAGAGGCCCCCAACTCCACCACGCCCTGAAGAACTGTGAGTCAATTAAACCTCTTTATAAATTAGCCAGTCTCAGGTATGCCTTTATTAGCAGTGTGAAAACAGACTAACACCAAGGCAGAGTTCTGGCAGAAATTGGACCTGAGTTCTGGTTGCTTATGATGTCCTACTACACACTGATCTACAAACAGCTCAGTCATTCCTTCCTCCTTTGCACTCCATGCTAATAGGTCTCCCATTTTTCTTGATTGCTGAATGACCCCATATTAGCTTCCCAGGGCTATTGTAACCAACTACTACAAACTGCATGGCTTTAAACAACGGAAATATATTCTCTCACATTTCTGGAGTCCAGAAGTCCGAAATCAAGGTATTGACAGGGTTGGTTCCTTCTGGAGTCTCTGGCAGAGGATTTGTTCTCTGTGTCTCTCAGCTTCTCACGGCTGCCGGCAGCCTTTGGCATTCCTTGGCTTGCAGGCTCATCACTCCTGTCTCTGCCTCCATTTTTATATGGCCTCCTTAACTGTGTGTTTCTGTGTGTCTTCCCCCTTTATTTTCTCTTTCAAGGAATCTTGCTTGTAGACTTACAGTCCACCCTTATCCAGGATGATATCCTCTCAAGATTATTAGCTTAACTGTATCTACAAAGACCTTTTTCCAATTAAGGTCACATTCACAGATTCTGGGAGCCTCTTTTGGGGGGCTACAATGGACCTCTAACAAAAGAGAAATGCAAATTGTAGTGGTGACTAGTTTCAAAGTTTACTGCTATCCAACCCAGTGAAATTTTTCATATGTTTAATTACACTTTCCTTGCCGCTACCACTATTTTTTCCCCTGTAAGGTCATTTAGACATTTAACAAATACAGCAATATAATCTGAAGAATGAACTGTGTTGGCTAATAGGTAAATACATCCAGAAATATTTTAGATTTACCTTTTTGTGTTGCAAAAGCAAGCAAGATGATCAAATGATCTTAATTTGCTTAATTCAGCGATGCCACTGGTAGATAACCGCAGATAAGACAGATAAAATATCCTATTCCACTTATATCTTCCATGTACTGCTGAAAATTCATTTGTGCTTTTTTATTGCTTCAGGGCTGGTATTATAACACCTGGAAGAATAGTTTACTAGAGAGTTCTGATGTCTAGACACCATATAGGTATGTTCTTGTTTGTTTTGTTTTTGAATAACAAAAAAGAGGAAGTGTGTTGGTTGTTTGCTGTTCTAACCAATATAAATTGCCTTCTTTTTCAGGGAAATGTTCTCTATTATATAAAGTCAATTTCCAAGTAACCAGCTATTTGCTGGGGTAACAAATTTACTCCATCCTGGAATTTCAAATAAAACATCTATTGTAATGTCGTTATGTGGCTGGTTTCATGTTTACTAGCAGCTGTCTTCACATCTCCACTATTGTAGAGTAAAACTATTATACTGGTACTTAAAAAAATCCCATAACAACAACAACAAAAATACAAAGACCCTGGTTTACAAGAGGTGTTTTACTGGGAAAATACTAAGGGATGGATTCAATAAAAAACCAAAACTGTGCCTTCTGCTCAGTATAATCTTCCAGATGCCATTCATCTTCCTGATTCACTGCTGAGGTGTTGCTTTACCTTACAGAGGGCGTCCAAAAGGTTTAAACCTTGTGTTTTCTGTGCTCTGACAGTTTTGCAAGGCAATTCCAAATGCACACTGTCTTTAGAAATAAAGTTTGAATTCAGACAGAGCTCGTCTTGAATCTATCATACAGGCCTGGTATCTGATAATAATGTAGTCTTCCAGAATAGATGCAATGATGCCTTTCTTAAGCCCCTTTACCTTGCTAGGTTGTAAACAGTCTCCTTTGTATATTACGGCACCCTGTTTTAATACAGTCAGTCAAAAAGTAGGCATGCCAAGCTCTTGCAATGTAAAATCTCTTGGAGTGCAACTAAAAAAGAAGATGGAGCTTTCATAGAGGGACGAAAATGCTATAAACATGTGATGGCTGATTTGTTTGGGGTAGAGTTAATTATTTCCTTGTTAATTCCTGATAGAATTTAGAAGGCTCTTTAACAACTCACTTTTGGCTGTTTATGTATCTTTTTCTTTAAAGAGCCACCAATTATTATGGGTTTTTTTTTAAGTCCATACTTTTCTTGTAGGTAACAGTTTTAGTTGACTTTATAATTTTCTGTCCTTAAACTGACTTTATCCTTTTTAATGATGTTCATGCTCTTAATCAGGACTATATAAACAATCCATATTACAAATTTCATAAAGACATATGTGAACATTTAACAGGCTTTGGGAGACATTTGCAGTGTAGAATATCTAGCTGGATTTTCTTCTTGGAGATTATCCTGTACTAGTAACAAGCAGAGAAAATATTTCCCACGCCTGTGAGTATTTAGGAGTTCCTTTGTGTGCCTAGATCTTTTTTCCCCCATACAGGGGAAGTGGTGTGCACTGGGGGTAGGCAGAAGAAAAATGACAAGAAGCAAAAGCTTTGCTGCTGTGGGATCAAATTCCAAGCAGAATTCCTTCATACACTTCCATTTCTGTGAAAGTGCGGTGTGGTGTTCGTTTTCACTGTATCTGCTCGCTTAATTGTTTCTGCCTGTTCATTTCATTCTTCAGTGAAAACATTAGCCTAAGGGACATTTGAAAATCAAAAGGTAGGCTTGAAGTTTAACAGGAAATGAACAGTGGTGTTGCTGCAATATTAAAGTAAAAGTTTAGAACCAATAAGAAATAGCCACAATTCTAAACTCAACATGTCTTTTCTCCTTTTTGTTGTTTCCTTTTGCTCTCCCAAATGTCAAGATTAAAGAAAAACATTCCATGGTTTCTACATGTTTACATAGCAAGGGTGTATAAAGAATGCTGTGAGGTATGCATTAAAAGAACTTGTCTTAGATACAGTAAAAATCAAGACATTTTGGATTATTATGCAGGAATATATAAAACCCAGGACAGATTTCCTGACAGCTATAATTGTTTAATTCTTTTAGAATTATCCCTTTCCACCCCCAAACCACCTCTTGCCAGAATTGTTGAGATAATTAAGGAAGTGGTGGGTAGGTTAGAATCTGAACCATTTCAAAACCCAAACTGACCAGATTATTGTCCAATGCTGTTTCACTTACAATGCTGGACCATGACTTCTATGTCTGCATGTGTGTGCTAAAGTTTGACCTCTGGTAGGAAATTGTCTTCAGACAGAATAGAACTTGAACTTCAGACGTCCCTTGGTCCTCCTTGCAGTTACCCATTTACATTCAATGTAGCATGGCTTACTTGCAACAAATATCAGTTATGCTAAATGCTGGGATTCTAACAACTCAAGGTGAAGTGTTCTTGTCCATCTTTTCTCTGATCACTAAGACAAAAGATCAAACAGATATTTTAAAAACCACTCTCAGAGGATCTCAACTTAAAATGCTGCCTATTTTACAACCACATTCTCCATCTTAACAAGGAAATTAAAC